CATGGGTGAAAGCCCTTATATAGCAAGACGGAAAAGAGAAAAACCTGGTACGTAAAACATTTCATTCCAGCATTTTTTTCGAAAAAAATGAAATATCTGTAACTATCAAGATTTCTTTTATAACTCTGGCATATATATAAAACTGCTACTTTTCCAAGATAAAGTAGATTTTGTTGAAAAATTTAAAAAAAGAATAAGTAAACTCCTCCCCAAAACTAGCTATAACTGGAAAGGTTTTAAGCCTTTCCTCGTTTCCGTCTCGCTTTCACCCCTGTGGCAGAGTGAAATAGCCATACGTCACAGATGGCGTTGCCGAGAAAGCCAATCAGCGTGCTCAAAATCTCTTGGGGATACTATGTGTGTAAAGAGAGTTTACATGCCATCTGGCCAGGGTAAATAACTACAAATTAAATTTTGCAAATATTAGACGGATTTTGCTATTTTTTTAGAAGGTTTTCCATGACATATCTGTTTCTTTCTTTTCATTATTTAAAACAAATTGGGAGCCTGGGCCGCGCAGCGGCCCCTAACCCATACATCATGAAAATAATAAACATTGTATAAAGACATTTTGTATTGTGCATCATTATGGTAGCAGTGACATATCTGACAAAAAGTGGTGAATTATATAAGCCTACTAATTGTTTAAAAATAGTGGTGGATAAAAATCTACTAAATTGATTTTATTAAACCAAGAATCACAATAATTAAGTAAATTTTGAATAAATTTTCAGCAATTCCATAAAAGAGTGTAAATTTTATAGTTCTATATCATGTTATACGCTGTCAGTAAGCTGTTTTTCGAGGCCTATGTGAAAGGTCAGTGTCAGCAAGTGGTCGCAGACGCAGCCTAAATGTAATTTCAAATTCTTCCTAAATGGAAAGTCCAGTGTCAGCCACCGATGGCTGACGCTGCGCTCAACGTGTTAATAGGGGAAGTGATAGAATGTGCTTGATAAAATTTAAGGATGGAACGTGCGCGTTAAAAAATGGGTAGAAATTTTTTCATTAGATCAATTTCATTATTCGTAACTACCACTGCATATTAAAATTAACAATGATGTGAGTTTGGAACGAAAGTCTTTTAAATCTTCAATTTTAATTAGTGACTTAATGGGAGAATTTTTTTGTTGCTAATTTAAATCTCTTTTATTGATTACGATTTCTTACATTTTCTGGTGCACTTTCTTACACCGGAACTTTAACACTAGGTTTTCAGACGTTTCTTATCTACCTATCTCTACGAATACACGTCAATTTGACGCATGAACGAATACATATAACAGCACTTACAGAGATGCCAACTTGCTCCGGAGAGCAAATATATACCTTAAAGTGGTAGTTTATCAACTGTGATTCTTGGTTTAATAAACTCAATTTTGTAGATTTTAACCACCACTATCTCTATACAATTCGTACGCTTATATAATTCCCCACTTTACAGTTCTTATGTTAGTTCTTAATCTAATATCAGAATGAATGGGAAACGAGCAGTTGGATTCTCTAGGAGTAGACATAATTATCCTTATTATACAAGTTAATAAAACTTTTATCGAAAGCGCAGCAATTAGCCTCTCACTAATGGCTCTTAAAACATAAAATTCGCTACCACTCGAGAAATTTTCACCTTCAAAATAGAAACTTTGAGCACCTGACTATTTCTTCATGCCAAACATTACGCTAGCATTCGTTAAAAAACAAGGAGACAAGAGTCCGTCGCCGACATTACACGAAAGCAATTGTGCAATATATAAAATATTTATTTTTTTAATAAAAATGGTAGTAAAAGTTCTTAAATACGATAGTTTTTATATAAGTAGGATAGTCGCATTCCACAAAAACTTATAGAGAGATGGAGGAAACGAAAACGTTTCAGCTATTGGATGGTCCAGAAAATTCGCCATAATTCAACACTTTATACTTGCTAAATTTACTTAGTGGTTATTTACTGTTTTTTATATTATTTTGGCGTGTCCGGAGCAGTTAGCATCTCTGCACTTAGAAAGCAATGTAATTATATACTATAAGAAAAAAAATGAAAATATGAGATATATATTTATGAAATATTCTAGTATTTTATTTTTCAATACTCGAACTAAGCAATTGAAACCTTCAAAATCTGACTCTCTGACATCAATTGACATTCGGCATTTGTTCTCTCTATTAATGCTTATCGGCAACAGTTGTTTATCGCTTATTTCATTTAAGATAACGATATCGGATAACGGATCGAAGTAGTGTCGGTACATTCCTATTTATTATTGATGTGATGCTTGCATGTTTATTCAAAATTTTGTCTAAATTACGATCGCGTCAAATTGACCCATATCCGTAGAGATAGGTATACCACATAGAGAATTTCAATATTTCAACACTTTTGAAGAAANTTTTATGTTTCAATATGTTTCACTAAGCAACTGAAACCTTCAAAATCTGACATCAATTGACATTCTGCGTTTGTTCTTTCTATTATTGCTTATCGGCAACAGTTGTTTATCGCTTGTTTCATTTGAGATAACGATATCGGATAACAGATCGAAGTTTTGTCCGTACATTCCTATTTATTATTGATGTGTGTATGTTTACTCAAAGTTTTGTCTAAATTAAGATCGCGTCAATTTGACGCATATCCGTAGAGATAGGTATACCACAAAGAGAATTTCAATATTTCAGTGCTTTGGAAGAAAATAGACTTCAATATAAATTTACCTCTATCAATGGATAAAAGTCATTACAAGGGATAAAATAAAAATGCAAACGGATTTTGTAATTTTCTTTATAAAATTCGAAATGCGTCAAAATGACGCTTCTCGTAAACCTTGTGTTAAGCAGTTACACGAATTTTCACACCAGAAAAAAGCTCGCAAATTGAAGAAATATGTCTCGAGAGGTAAAAGCAATGAACTTAGTTGTCTTAATGTGAAATTTGAAAGAAAAAAAAAGAAATATTTATAAGTCTTATGAATTACTTGTAATTGTTTTTTTATTTTGTTTCGGCCGTAGCCACCCTGATTACTTAATTTGGTAAATATATAAAAATATGTCGATCTTCTGCACCACAATTGTGCATGTAATATTAATTTTTCCATTTTAATTTGATTAACTTAGCAGAGCACCTTATTAATTTTTTTTCGTATTTATAATCATGTACTTAAATAAACTTATTCAAGTACTACTTATTGATTTGAGATCTTTAATTTAAATATGAAAATTAATTGGAACCGACGATACTTAAAAACAAATTGAACAAAAAGAAGTTCTTTCCTTAAATGAACATGATCAATTTTTTGGACAGATTACGATTAAATTTGAAATATATGGTGGGGGGGAGGGATATGATCGCAAAAATACGGCAAAATATGATCTCAACAGTTTAGGTAAGAACGCAGTAGAAAGTTCGGATCTCATATCATATTTTCATTTTTCTCAAATCTTTAATATTTTTTTTCGAATTTCAACATATCTCTCGAAACCAACGCCTCTTATAACTGAAAGCCCCCACACGGTGTTTTGGGGATAGTCTGATCACACCAAAATGCAAGTAAACAAGTTTACGAAAGAATCTTTTTATACAAAATCTAGTAAAAATAAGATAGTGTTAGCAAATATATATCTAAAATTTGTTTAATTTTTGAATATAATTGGTTTGTCTTATTTACTTGTCAACCACTACAGAATCAATTCTCAAATATATATGACAAATTTCTCTCAAGTATTTTTAAAAACGAATTTGGATTCATGCGCGCATCTGGTTCACTTTTTAAATAGTCTGAGCTACTACTTATAAAAAACCGTGTGGAGGCTTTTTGACGTAGGAGGTAATGGTTAAACTCGTTTATTTAAAGAAAATCCCAAGTAAAAAATTATTTTTTTGTAATTTTTTACTATATATTATTGTTTAGTTTATTAATCGTCGAAACATTTTTCAATTGCATGGCAAAAAAAAAGATTTTTTTTCTCTAAGTTATCTTTATTAAAAAATTTAAAATTTGAAAGAAATCAATCGAATAGTTAAAATCTTAAGAAATTAAAATTTAAAATACGATTTTTTTGACATAGAGGGCTTCGTTACATTTAATGTTTACACACCTGATGAAACAGAATTGCAGAAAAACATATAGTGGTGGCAACAAACATATTAAATGTTCCAATTTCGTCTTCTTAACGTTTCCACTATTTCATTTTTCAAAGCCAAATAGGAACCACGATCGTGGTGTCAGGTATACAGCGCATAAAAATGTCTTTTGACCAATCACAACTACTGTTGAAATTATATTTACCATCTAAAGTTTGAACAGTTTTTCTCAGTTGCAGTTGGAAGGGTTTGTCCGGATCTGGACAAGTTGACGTCATGCGGCTCAAAATACCATCGACTATTTCCTTCCTGTTGGCTGCATAAATACCCACGTGATCGCCAGGTAAATATTTCATGCTGGGGCTGTCTTGCGTAGACATGACAATCAGCAGTGTTTTTCGACTGTGAAAAAAACATGCCATACGAATGAATTTCTTTTTAAGAGTTAACGCTTATTTTATCATCTATATAGAAAATTCTTAGACTTACCTGTCTTCTTCATGGAAAAGAACTTTTCTTTCTTTTAAAATACATGGAACAACTTTTCGATTCGTTCCTTTTGATACACCTGAAAAATGGTTAAAAATGAAATTTTAGTTAAAAAAAATACAAATTAAAATAAAGTCGGAGTTCTATTTAACGAACTTCCATTTTGCGATTTTTTTCGAGGAACTAAGAACATTTTGGAAATTTCTTCGTAAAATAGCTTCCAAATTGCGAAGTGAATTTTCTATTTAACGAACTTTTCTTTCAGATCCACTATCCTTATTTTCCAAAATATTTAAGAACATTTCAAATTTGTCATCACATTTTATGGGGGAAATGCGTCGAAGCTTTGCAGAAAGCAGTAAAATCCCATTTCCCTTTTTGTTCGCATCGCAAACGAAAAACTCAGACAAAATTAACGGATTTAAACAGTAGCAATTAAACTTAAGAACGCATGTGGTAATGTATGTTTAAAATTACTTTTATAATAAATGCAGCTATAATTTTATGCATAAATTTAGCTTCTTTTTGACGAAAATGTATGTAGCGTGATAGTGTAACACTGGATAATGTTTTGCTCTGTTCTTGCTTTTCATGCAGATTTCTTTTATGGTTATGATTTATAAAATAAATAGAAGATATTAGTTAACAAGATAAAGGTGTATCAATTGCCATTTTAATTATGTCTAGGGTATATGAATTTAAAACCTATTTTGCGTTGTTTAAGCATTTCAAAAGGTGATTTTCTATTTAACGAATTTTCCATATAACGAACTTATTATCGGGATTCAACAAATTCATTAAATAGAGGTCCGACTGTAGTTGTATTGAATTCATTACATTTTTAGATGCTTGAATAAAGCACTAAAGGAAGTTTTATAGTTATGAATTTTTATACACTGAATTACAACTTAATTAAAATAAACACACCGGGAAAAAAATTATCACTTCTAGAGAAATCGTGAATACCATTCTTAAGAGACGAGTCTCGTGACGTATTTGGGGTGTTTTTCTTATTATACATTGGACCCCTTCACTAGATGACCACTAACGTGAATCAGTATGTTTATTTTATCCTTTTTCATGACCAGGTGTTGCCTTTCAATTAACATTTTCCTGATGCTGGGCTAACAACTTTCTACTCTTTTTATAAATAATTATTCTCGTGGTTTATGTATTATTTTTTAAAATTAATTTAAACTTATTTTCCACACCACTACATATAATTTATTTAAAAGATCATATGCAACACTACTTTATTCCAGCTCTATCGGGGCCTCCCTGGAAGAGCGGTATCGCCCGCCAAACGTTGTGCAAAGCGTGGAGGCAGCGGGTTCGAATCCCGCTGTTACCCTGGATGTAACTTCTTCACTGTATTGTGCTATCTGTTCTTTTATTTGACACAGGATTATAAGCCTTAATTGAGCACACAAGCTTGCAAATGTATGTAATACCAATACACAATATGCAGCTCTATTGTGGTGAGGGTTTTAAGTGCTGGCAAAATTACCAAACAATCAGAAAGATTTGGTAATTAAATGCCTACCACTCTACAAAATATTTTTAAAAAAGCGTAGGAGTTTGCAATCCTGGATGATGTATGCAGTTAATATGTTTAGTTAATATGACAAAAAACAAAAGTTGTTCGAGAGAGCAGAATATGTGACTGCTTTTATGAATACTATACATACACCCTATTACAACTCGATTGGTCAGAAAAAAACAACTGGTTTAAACTTTAAAGAAATAATCAGAATGCGATTCAAATATATACAGTAAAAAACAGCTTTTATCCACAAATATCCGAATCAAGTTTGTCATTGCTGGAATCTTGGACATAAATTCAATTTCGATGATTTCCACCTCAGTCGTATCAGCTCATCTTGACGCCCTGGAATCTTGTTTTATTCATATGAATGGTGATCCCCTAGTTAACGGCATTGGTTCCCTGCAATCTCACCATAGAGCGTGTAAATGCATTGTACCCTGATTTGCCTCTTTCTTGCACTGTGAATATTCTTGTTTCGTTTTTCAACTTTTTTTTCTCTCTCGTTCGGCTGCTGTGGTTTTCCAGTTTAGTTTATCACCTTTATTTTTCCCTTTTTCGTTCGCAAATTTTTCGTTTTATATTTCAAATCACTTCTGTTTCATTTGATTCCTGTCTGGCAAGTCTTGAAAATGGGCGCCAGTTTTTAAGAGCTTGAAACATGCCGTCTTGTTATTCCTAAATTGTATATTTTTGAAGCGAATGAAGTTTTTAATCAAGTGACATCTTACCGCTTCAAATTCTTGGGATTATTTATCAAACAAGTTTGTCGCTATTTCCCCGTGCCTTTTAAATGCTTTTATTTATAATAATCAAAATATTTCTCCAATATGCATTTGCTAATTTAAATCTGAAAGTTCGATCTTATGAAACAATACCTGCACATATGTCTGTTGGTTCAGGTACTTCAACGAGCCTGACCTTTTCGGGGCTCCAAGTGGTATTAGATTGGAGACTAGCCTTCACATCACTCAGATTTATATCATCCCCAACGTAAAACACATCACAAGCAACCTGGAAAAAATATATATATTTTAAAAATAGAAGGGGTTTATTTTATTTTCGTCACAGTTCAATATGAGCATGCTAATAAAAAAAAAAGAATTAATTGCTGTAATCTTGTTTTAAATTTTAATTATTTCAACTGGTTAGTAAGATAAGCTTGAATTTATAAAAATTGAGATTAATCAATCCCTTGATACACAAATAGGATGTTCAGATCACTTAAAAGGTGAACTGATTTGCGGCACTAGTCAACTTGCCTGAAGACATGAGTGGATGAAGCAGGTAGGTGACACTGAAAGAGTGTTCATAACCAGAGCAAGAAAGAGAGAGGTATCCAAACTATTTTATTGTAAATTTATCAGGTGGTGGGGTTAATAGTTCTTTGTTTCATTTTATTTACCACTACCTAGCTTGAAATAAAAACCATGCAAGCTTATTCAAAATTAACGCCGATCAATTAGGACAAATTTATAGTGGAGCTATAAACAATTAATTCTGTTACATAATTAAACCATACCTGCCAACTCTTCCGGATTTTCCGAAAGATATACTATATACTATTTTATATACTATTTTTTCTTTTATAAACTTAATTTTTAAATGATTTTGATCACCACTATTCTTACAAAAATAAAGCAAATATAATAATATGCGTTACCATCATGGTTGTCAACTTACTTAAGTTTTTTCAAATGCAACGTATTTGTTTGCTTAAAATTGAAGTTTTAATTTCATTTTAATACCACTGGGAAAAATGATAATGAAAGGAATTAAAAGTTGGCAGGTATGGTAAAACCCATATTAATGCGAGCACTAGGGCTGAAGGCCTATATATACCAAGATGGAAAAGAGCAAAAACTGGTACGAAAGGCATTTCATTCTAGCTTTTTTTTTTTTTTTTTTTTTTTTTTTTTTTTNTTTTTGAGAAACATTAAATTTCTGTAACAACCGAGACTTTTTTTGCAATTATAGCAAATATATGAAACTGCTTGATTTTAGAACAGGAGTTATTCCAAAAGATATAGAATTTTATATCATTAATATGTCTTGGTTGGTAGAACATTGACGCTTAACACATTGCTGACCGTGTTTTCATCAAATTTTTCAATGCTTGTTTCAAATTACGTTGCTACAGTGTGACTAGGTAAAGCTATTTTCCTATACCTATTTACTATTTCAATGACTATCTATCTGATTTAATTCCCCACAAGAGACATTGCTTTGCATCCCGCATATTCAAATATAGTGCATGGATTAATATATTTTACTTTTAATAAATTATAATGGATAAACTCGGAAATTGTTTCACTTCATCTAGAAGAATTACTGAATATAAAAAATTACCTGAAATGCTTCCTGCGCCCATTGACTGAACGTGTATTCTTGACCACAAAGCTCATCTCCGGTCCCCATCTTGACCATCCTTTCTCCTCCCAGTTCTCCCAACATTGAGTCCACGTAGCGTCCAAATGAACAGAAATTTGGATAAGCACTAGAACCCAAAGCGAAAACGGCAAATCTGAAAATGAAATTTCATACCAATTACCACTTTGCCCTCATTGGTGTCCCTCTGGCAGGCCTGGCAAGTACTGCGCTTTTCGTAAAATATTTTATAGAGTGGTAGACATATAAAAACCAAAGCTTAAAGAATTTTTGGTAATTTTGCCAACATTTTAAAAGCCTGATCATGAAAGAGCTTGAACAAAGTGGCGTTTCATGTAAACTTTTAAATCACTTATATGTAATGGTGCTGTAAATAAGCTTAAATTAATAAAAATATTACATTAAAAAATTATGCATTAAAAAAATGATACATTAAAGCATTAACTTAGCTACTATTAGAATAAATGTTTACAAAAAGTGTAGAAAGCTGGCAGCCCTGATTTAACATCATGAATTACCTACCACTCTGATTATTAAAATTTTTACAAATTAATCTTTAGTAACCAATTTGTATTTAATGGACCAATTTGCATTCCAATTACCAGAAAGAGCCACCTTAAAAACAACATTTCAAGAGGGATAGAAAAAGGGCCGCTAACGGCCTCAGGCGCCCAGATATAATTTGATGATGATGATGTATTTAATGGTNGGAGTTGTAATGAGGCTTTTTTTTATCGCCGTGTAAGAGAAATATATATATAGATGTTTAAACTAACAATAATTAAATTAAAAGCAAAGTGAGTCTGTCAAATTAGCAACGACTACATTTAAGTTACCGTTTTTTATTTAATTACAACTTGATTCTGATTTTGTACGAATGCTTTTCTGAATCACCCGTCCCCAAAGGAATAAAGACAACATTTCAAGAGGGATGGAAAAAGGGCCGCTAACGGCCTCAGGCGCCCAGATATAATTTGATGATGATGATGTATTTAATGGTCTCCATATGTTACATACCAGCTTATTTAGCAAGTGAAGACGGTCTGTGCTTAGTCATAACCTCATACATCAGAAAGCCTCCGCACGGTTTCTTATAAGTAGTCTGCGCAGATTATTTAAAAAGTGAACCACTTGTGCGCATGAAACCAAATTCTATTTTAAAAGTCTGGTCTGGTCTTGTTGGTTGGTCGGGGTCCCTGAGGCCAAGATGGCCCTTTACCCCTTCATCATGAAGTAAGGATCGTTGAGGTGGAGCCCTGAGGTGATAAGCATAATGCTAAAGTTGAAGTGGGGAGAAAATGGCACATTGCCATGGTGCGGAAAAGCTGTGGTGACTTGAAAAAGAGTTGAGAGTAATCAACAAAAATGAAGTCTACTGTGGTTTGCTTGAGGAAAACATCTCGCTGTTTTTAAGATTACTTATCTCGAATTCATAATTAACATCTCCAGTCTCCGCTAGTAACTAAACTGGCGAGGACCCGAAGGACAATAGATGTTAGTAAAGCCAGACTCCTACTTGCGAAACATGCTTCGACCAGTCGGTTTCAAACGCAAATGACCGCCATTAACAGTTTGATCGGACAGGCCTAAATGCTACTAACGAAAGGTCAATGCAATCATCACGTTCACGTACGTCGTGGCTAAACAAGTTACTACTGCCGCTTACACGGTGTGTTCACGTTGGCTGGATTTGAAAACTATTTCATCTTAATGTTCTGTCTTTCAAACATTGATCAGTGATCGACGTCGCAGAAGAACTGCAATCATCAGGCTTGCATCAAACGCTCACGAAGAGAGGAAGAGATCATCGCTAAGGCAGTGAGGTGGTGACGACTGGGTGTTTTAAAAAGTACTTGAGTAAATAAAGCAAACCAATTATATTCATACATTAAAAAAATTTTTAGACGTATATTTTCTACCACTTTCTAATTTTTCATAGATTTCATATTAAATGGTTCTTTCACTAATTGGTTTACCTTCATAGCGGTCTGATCGGACTACCTAAAAAAAACCGTGTGAAGGCTTTCAGTTATAGGAGGCGTTGGCGTAGTGCGGACAGCTAAGCCACAATCATGACGTTGGTTTCGAAATTGAGGAGTCTCAACATGCGTGACTCCCCAGCCCACAGCGGGCTATTGCAGGAATTTTTTTTTTTACTGTTATGCCCCCACATCCAACCTTTCCTTTCTTTATATTTAATGTTTATTTGAGACATATTTGATTGGTAAATAGCATGAAAGATCTCATACAACTATATTTCACTAATGATTCTATTAAGATCTATTAGTTAACATAAATAATTTTGGTTAGTAATCATTTCTTCTAAAAAAATAATAACATTTTAAATCAAAGGGGTATTGCTATGATAAATTTGGTAAAGTTAACAACCATAATTTAATATTTTCTTTTACCAAATAGGTTGATATACTAATTACAATTTGGGCAAGAGTCGCATAGTGCATGAAACTGTTCGTTAAGTTATAATCTAACGAATCTCTTTCTCGGTACTTTCTAAGGTTCTAGTGTAGATTCGTGGTGCCTTTGGTTGGATAATTCCTGTTCAGTTTTGCTAAAATCCCATTTCTGGTTACCATGATATATTTTGCGGTCTTTGTTTTCAATGACGTTACCTTCGGGTTCCCGTATTTTTTTGTTTACCTTTATGTAATTGGTTCTTGGTTTATTTACATATGCATTCGTCTATTTGAAAATCACTAAAAATAAGAGGGGCCCCCGATTGTAAACTATTACCCTTTATAATAGCATATTAATGTAATTTACCCCAAAAAATTATAGTTGTAAAATGACACCAATTTAAATAAATTTGTTTAAAAAAATAGTGTAAAAATGTAATATCATAGAATTATGTCATGATAAAGAAACGACTCTTTCAGTTTTAAACTCTTAATTTAGAAAACAATCAAAATCTAAAGCATAATAATAATAGAGTTTAGACAGAGAACAAAGATCACCTTTAAATTTGGGAAACAAGAATATTCTACGAAAAACATTACTTTTATAAATTTTATGCAGACGACAAATGAAAAAAAATCGATTTAATGAGGAAAAATTGAATCCTACCATTGATTGTGATAATAATCAGTGAAAAGAATTAACATGAAAAATTAGATTTCACTCAAGGTACAAATTAGAAATCGGTACTATATTTTGAATTTTCAATTAACGTCAAGTGAACCTATATCTAAAAATCTTAGATTGTTTTAATCGCTTTCCAAATTCAAAATTCTGTACTATAATACAGAACACAGATTAGGTGTTTTAAATATGTATTTGAATAAATGCCACAATAAAGTTTTAATATTTTTGAACGAATTTCATAATAGAAATTTTTCAATCAACAAAAAATTATCTGAAAAAAAAAGAGTTTAAATTTTAATGTGTTAAAAGAAAATTTTTCTTTAATTTATGTCTTATTTAAGTCACATTTCATTATTTTCTAATAGCACTTGTTTAACACGTTCACGCCGGGAAAAGTGAAAATACTGGTACGGGAAAAGAGAAAATACTGGTAGAAGAACTATTTCAATATAAGATAATATTCGGGAGGAGTTAATCTATTCTCAACAATAACAATTCACTGAAAGGAAATTTATCACGGCGAAGAAGCAATTCAATATAAAAATTGCATCCGTTAAAAACAATTAGTAGTTATGGATTTTTATTATTCCCGGAATAAAACTAAAAAATGAAATTTATTTGTTAACAGTTTTTACTCCGGTGTGCCGCCAAGATGAGAATATCTAGCGTGACCCACTGGTGGGTCACCCCGGCGCAAACGTGTTAAGTTCTGAAGTGAACACAAAGCCGAGCAAAAAATTTTGGCATGATTTTTAAGATTTTTTTAAGTTTAGTGAAGTATCTAAAATATTTAAAAATCAGAAAGAATCTAAATTAAACTAAACTAGTAGACACGGGAAAACTAGAAAAATCCTCCACATTGGATGACTGTGTATTAGGTGTAGAGAATTAAATACTCCCTCTGTCCCAAATTAGTTGCTACATTTGAATACTTNGAAGAAAATTCATGTAGAAATAGTGTGCCCCCCAAAAAAATTTTAATTTTTTTTGGCCTCCTAATTGGCGTTTATTTGTAGAATTGCTCATATATAAAAAAAAAGAGTTTAAATTTTAATATGTTAAAAGAATATTTTTCTTTAATTTACGTCATATTTAAGTCACATTTCATTACTTTCTAATAGCACTTGTTTAAGTTCTGAAGTGAACACAAAGCCGGGGAAAAAAATTTTGTATGATTTTTTAAGATTTTTTTAAGTTTAGAGATGTATCTAAAATATTTAAAAATCAGAAATAATCTTAATTAAACTAAACTAGTAGACACGGGAAAACTAGAAAAATCCTCTACAATGGATGGCTGTGTATTAGGTGTAGAGAATTAAAATACTCCCTCTGTCCCAAATTAGTTGCTACATTTGAATACTTCTGTACTGATTATTAATCCTGTTGACTTTATGATTTTGTTTTTACAGTGATTTCAGGACGCAATGTTATGAATTAGCATTGATTTCGAAGCATTCCCTGCTTAAATGAGCACATAGTTTCAAAAATCCAGAAGCTCCAGAATCCAGAATTCGAAAGCTCCTATTATACGCCCTATTTTGTAAGGCCGCAAATAATCGCGAAAAACTATCATCTAGTTAAGCTAACAAATCGTGATTCATTTTAGCAGAAATTTAACTGTTGTTGATTTATTAAACTGCATCGGAAATTATTTATGACTCCACCTGCTTGAAATGCAACAACTGATTTGGAATAAAATTTCGACCTAAATGTGGCATCGAAAATTGGACGGAGTGGCCAACTGGCCTGTTAGGGGTCAAGGAACTGGCCTTGCATCAGAAAAGTTCTGGGTTCGAATCCCGGACAAGGCATGACTGTTCTTTCATTTTCAGTACTATCTGTCCTTATTGTGGGAGCAACGTTGACCCACCTAATATGGTGTCCCTGAAAGAGTGGCTAACAAATTTGCCCTTCAGATGCACGTATGACGAAAGGTCGTTCCCCTGGTGGGCATTGAAAAAAAAATTGGACTGAGGGAGTACAATTTTAATGCTTACCTTACGTTGCTAAGCGGTCCAATATCATCATCCAGTTCTGTTGTAGGTGTGCAGTTGGTCCCTTCATCTTCTAATGATTCCAGTGGCATACTGTTCATCCTTACAAACGGCATACAAGTACTGCTGCATACAAGAAAATATATAATTAAAGACCTTTATGGAGTTAGGTTCCAAGTGACATGTTGAGTTTAAGAATACCAGCTTTATATATATACAGAGATGCCAACTTGCTCCGGACAGCAAATATATATTTTAAAGTGGTAGTTTATCAATTGTAATTCTTGGTTTAATAAATTCAATTTTGTAGATTTTTATCCACCACTATTTCTAAATAATTCGTAGGCTTATATAATTCACCACTTTATAGTACTAATGTCATGCTGTACCTTTTAAAAAGCTAGCAAATATAGTCAAATATTTGCAAAATTTACTTTGAGTTACTTACCGTTATTTTAATTATTTTGGAGTCTCCGGAGCAGTTGGCATCTCTGTATATATAAACTATAATAACACTAGAAAGCTGTAAAAAGCACATTTGTTCAAACATTAAGGCAGTCTTTTTCTAGAATGGTACTCTGGTACCATCATCTACTAGTTTGTACAATTTATTTTAGCAGAAATAATTTTGTGTACTTTAACCTCGTAGAGACGGGCGAGTCATATATGTATTGTCAGGGTGGCGACAATCACAGTAAAAAAGATAAAACTTGCAGTCAAACTATTTTTATAGCAGTTTTTTTGTGGGCGGAGTAATAATAGTTTGCTTTATTTATATCACCAAGACTTAGTTCGAAATAAAAATTATATAGTTACCCTTTTAACAATTATAGATTGGATGTATTAAATTTAAAGTGAAAGCAAAAATAAAGTTATCAAATTAGCCATACCCAAACTTAATCTACCGCTTTTTATTTTTTCCATCCTGTTTCTGATATACGAATATATTTATGACTCGCCCGTCCCGAGAAGGCTATACTGCACTATATTTTAGTATTAAAGAGTCCATTAAAAAATTTTTAAGTTTCTTTATTTCTCTTGTAATTGTGCAATAGCAAGATTAAAAAATAACCACATAATATGGTCACTAGAATCAGGGATGCAGCGAGTGACTAAAAATGTAAGAAGTGGTATAGGAACTCAATTTATATTTATTTATTTAATCTATTGAATTATTCAATCGTAACTTAATGGCAAATTATTCATATTTATACTGAAAATATTTTTTTACACAAGCCTTCAATAATAAACTGAAAGAAATATTCTAGAAAAAGTTCCTAATTTTAACAGTTTTTAATAGATTTTGCCCTTTTATTTTAATTCTTTTAATAGATATCAGTTCCTTTTTTTATATTTTTAGTCGCCTGTCTAGCATCCCTATTAGGATAGTACTTTTAACCTTTAAATAATGCATGATTTTTGACCAATATTTGAATGCATTTTGACAATAATGACCTTTACCCCCTTAGGAACGGGTGATTCATAAAAGCATACGAACAAAATCAGAATCAGGATGTAAATAAATAAAAAACGGTAACTTAAATATAGGCGTTACTAATTTGACAGACTTACTTTGCTGTTACTTTAATTATTGCTAATTTAATCATATTCATAATCAATGTAAGTAACTAAATAATTTTATTTTGAACTAAGTAGTGGTGAATTAAATAATCAAACAATTATAACCCCGCCCACAAATAAACTACTAAAGAACTCTACTTTAGTTACCAGTTTTATCTTTTTACCCTGATTGATACGGTTTCATGCTGGCACGCATTTGTGACAGTCGGCGCGAAAGGATTAAATAATGATCACTAATGATCACAACATTCTAAAACCATTTATAAAACGAAGGATGTAACTTCGTGGTCCTTAGTGTTCAAACAAGGGTTCTTAAAATACTAAAAGACCATATTTGGAAGTAAAAATGAAATATGTAATCTAAGTTAAGAAGTTAGTTTATCTTAGAAGTTAATATCATATAAGTTAAGTTAAATTTATCATCTAAGAAGATCTAGTTATAAAAAAACATCTACAGAAGGATTAGTTTTACAGAATTCGTCGAATTCTTCATATTGTACTTTTTTGGAGGTCATTGGATTCATAAACATTGGGATAAATAGAATTATTGGGTTGAGATTGATTATGATTACTAAAAATGGTATTATGATGATCTATAAAATTCCTTCGTAGATTCTTTTATTTCACTTTCAACGGTAGCTAAAGATTTTTGTAAAATTTAAAGAAATCCATAAATCAAACAAGGATACATTAATATAACCTTAACGATAGTGAGTGATACATGAATGCACGAGTTTCTATTTTCTCAAAAGAAAAATGCAAGTTGAATTTTCAATTTCGTATTTGTTTATTTGTAAAAGGAATCACATTTTACGATTTGAGGTTAATATTTTTTTTAATGCAAAAACAAAAAAAATCATAATGTTTGGAGTAAGTGAAAAATATTCAGATTTTCAAAACGAATTCATGAAGTGTATGGTATAATAGAACATGAAAAATAATTCTTTCTGTAAGGGAGCATTTCAGTGAAACAATTTTGTACACTATTACTATAAAATATGTGGTTCTTTAAATTTATGCACTAACAAATTGCAATATTTTTTTATTTAAACTACCACTTTTGTTATAAAAAATATTTGATTGGATAATATCGGATTCTTTAAAAAATTCATATGAAAGTCAATAAAAGGCACTAAAAATCGCGGCTTATCCTGACAAATATTAACATTAAAATAATTGATGAGGTGAGAGGATATGAAGGAGGTACGTAACACGAGGAAAAGTTTAAAAGCATGACATTGAAGTGTTAAATATCGCTAGTCACTTTCTTTATGTCACTCTTATATTTATCATATAAGTATCTTTTTTGATCCAGCAAGTGTTTCAGAACCATGAGTTCTGAAACACTTGCTGGATCAAAAAAGATATCTTTATTCTTATATCTTTATTCTTATATCAATATCTTTAATCTTTAGATTGATATAAGAATAAAGATATCTTTATTCTTATATCAATATCTTTATTCTTATAAAGACGATAGATGTGTTGGAAGAAAAATATTAACATTATATAGAAAATATGCTAATTATATGCCAATATATATGCGAAAAACTGTGATGTATAAATAATTCAAATTATTTTCAGAATAAATTCAACTTTTTTTATTAAAGAGTTTTGATAAAAACTATGATTTAAAAATATCATTCAAGGTGTAAAGAATAAAAAGTTAATTTATTATAAATGTGGCTCTTTCAATAGAAAATGCATATTAAACAATGTTTTGTATAGAACCACTTGAATCTGATAACCTCGTGCTGTGCTGAAACTAACATGGAAATTTGAGTGATATTTGCAAATTTGACTTTTTAGGAATAAATTCATAGTTTCTGTAAATTATTTATCATCTGCAGTGCATATCATTTCACTATAAGAATATGCAGTGCATATTCATTTTCACTATTGTTTTCGAAGATTCATTTAATCAAAATTCCTACTAAATAGAAGAGACAAAATATAAAACCCTAGAATCAAGTTTAAAATCAAAATTTATAACTAATACATAAAATAATTTATAAAGTCATTATACCAATTTTATAATCGAAATGCTCTAAGAAGAAATAAATAAATGATGCATAAAAAATCATGTAAGTAACTTTGTAATCCGCATGCATATGATATAGAAAAAATAAACTTCTATATATTTTAAAATTATTGACAATACAACAATAAACAGATAACTGAAAGGAAGATAAGTTTAAAATTTATATTTGTTTAAATTATTAAAAAATTTAAATATTAACTATATCAAGTAATTAAAATTTCATACTGGAGTTCATTTTTCTGAAATGTGATTTTTAAATAAATTAGAAAACGAAATTTAATCAATAACTATATTTAAATAACTGAAATTTCATACTAGAGTTTATTTTCGGAATGTGATTTTTAAATAAATTACAAAACGTCATTAACTATATCAAAATAAATGACATTTCATCTGGAATTTACTTTTCGGAAATGTGATTTTTAAATAAATTAAATAACAAAATTTAATCAATAACTATATCGAAATAATTGACTTTTCATACTAGAGTTAATTTTTCTAAAATGTGATTGCAAAATAAATTAAATAATAAAATTTAATCATTAGCAAAATTTAACCAATAACTAAATCTAAATATGTGAAATTTCATACAGGAGTTTTTTTCTTCTGAAATTTGATTTTCAAATAAATTAACTAACAAAATTTAATCAATTATTATATAGAAGTAATTGAAATTTCATACAGGAGTTTATTTTTCTGAAATTTAATTTTTAAATTATAAACCAACAAGATGAATCAGAAATAAAAAGACAAAATATAATCGATTGGAGTTATTTAAAGAAATGTTTGAAAAACAGGAATTTGAACTGATTAAAACTATCTTTTCGAGAACAGAAGAAAGTTTAATAAAAAGTTCAGAAGTTGAATTAGATTGATCTTCTTGCCAAAAATAATGCAGAGATTGAGATAAAAATAAGGAAATATATTGCGGACATGTTCAGCATATCTTTTCAGCTTATTAAAAAAATCTAATGTTGACGACGATGAATTTGAAGGTAGGGCTAAATTAATCAAAATTCCTCGAATTCTGATCTTGTATCGCAGCAAAAAATTATAAATTCAATATTTATTTTTTTAGGATTTCCGGTAAAAAGTACGACTCATGAATAGATTAATAAATTTAGTACACTTCAAAAATTAAGATACAAGTACTTAATCTAATTTTTTTTTTCACTTTTCGATTATTGATTAAAAAGTATGCTTCGAAATTTGGTTCTTTTTGTTCAATTTTTATGACTGCAAGGTTTATTGGTTAAATTTTTTGAGATGTGATTTCTTAGGCAAGTTTATAAGAAAAATGTATGTTTGTATGTATGTTTATAAGAAAAATGTATGTATGTTTTGTTACCAAAAGATAAAAACTAATAAGGAAATAATTGCTACCAGTTTGAGGACACAGAGAATTAACTAATTAGTAACAGACTTATTACGTTTTTTTAGAATATTACAGGGATGCCAACTGCTCCGCTTTCTTGAATAGTTTTAATAAAGTGGTTGCAGATTATATTGTAAAAATCGTTAAAGAAAGATAGTTACGCCTACTTTTTAATAAAGTAACCAGTAGATTGATGCATAAACGTTGTATTTTATATCATACTTATAATTTTTTTATTTAGTGGTGAAAAAATAACTTAAAATGAAAAATACTTGAACTAAAATTAACTTAAATTTTGCTACCACTAGAAAATACTATTTTACAAAGCGGAGCAAGTTGGCATCTCTGATATTATTGCAAAAGTAACCCGATGTAAAGTATGCTAATGAAATAAATGTGAGGAGTAAAAATTTAAAATATGTCATTTAATTTGTTTTGCATAATAGGATTTAAAATTTTTTCAGTGTGCAGTTGGAGCTTATGTTGACGCATCAGATGCATCAACCGAGTTCAAAAGGCTTAACCCTTTCGCGCCGACTGTCACAAATACGTGACAGCATAAAACCGTATCAATCAGGGTAAAAATATAAAACTGGTAATCAAAGTATTTCTTTAGCAGTTTATTTGTGGGCGGAGTTATAATTGTTTGATTTATTTCATTCACCAATACTTTGTTCAGAATAAAACTATTTAGTTATACTTTGAATTAACATTGATTATATATATGATTAAACTAACAATAATTAGTGTAAAAGCAAAGTAAGTCTGTCAAATTAGCAACGACTACATTTAAGTTACCGTTTTTTATTTAATTACAACTTGATTCTGATTTTGTACGAATGCTTTTCTGAATCAACCGTCCCCAAGGGGTTAAAGCAATAGCCAGTGAATAATTAATTTTTGCATTTTTTTTTCCAAATAAAAAAATAAGCAATATACCTATGGTTTGGTGAACGCTTTTCTCAAGAATAACGTAGATGTTAAGAATTTGTGTAATTTTTTAATATTGCGCTTTGTCGGTCTTTAGTGCTATGATTATTTTTAATATTTGATAACTAGTGCACGTTTTTAAACGAATTTATGCTCTTAAGAGCTACGAATATACTACAAAATTTAGTAGAATATTGTTCTACTTTCCCTATTGGTTCCGGAAACAATTATTCCATTGTTATAATTCAAAATTATATATATTTTTGTGACCCTTTGATACAGCAGAACGTAATATTTATTCCTCGTTGGTACAGGAGAAAATTATATAATAATTACTATTCATTATTAAATACATTTTAATGTTTTTTATGTAAATCCAGTAAATTGTTGCACTTAATTTCTAATCGGTTTAGCAGATAATCATTAATATTAATTTTTAAATCATTCATTTTAAAGATCCAGTAAAATATTGTACTACATTCTCTGTTCGTCCAAGAAATAATTATTTAATAATGACTGTTCTTTATTATATATGTTTTGATGTACTTTGTGAAAATGCATCAAAATATAATACTACATTCCCTGTTAATTTTATAATACTACATTAATGTTGGCAAAATATAATACTACATTACTGCTCTTTATTAAATATGTTTTAATGCTCTTAAAGAAAATGCAGCAAAATATAATACTGCATTCTCTGTTGGTTTAACCCTTTAACGGGCCCTTTATTTCTAATAAAGGTAAATTAAAGTATTTTTGGAATTGAAATTGTTTCAAGAACAGCAATTGATATATAAAAAAAACTCATGTAGTTTATAAAAATGCCATTTTTTTAGTGGTAAATATATTTAACATGACCTATTAGGAACTTACTGATTTTTATTTTCCCTTATTTATAAAATAAATTCCTTAAATGCTACAAACTTCAAAAGGAATTATGTATTTTATAACTTTTATACGTTTTTTAAAAGTGGCAAATGGTTACCAACTTTATTCAAACTCACTTCAAGAAAGCTGAAGTTATTGAAATTATGGAAACCTAAATTAAAAGTGGTAAAACGTGGTGGCAAGTATACTTACCACGGCCTTCAAAAGGGTTAAAAGTGATTGTTTAACAATTACTATTCATTATAAATACATTTTAATGTTATTTTAGAAAATACTGCACAATGTTCTAAAAATATAACTATGGGGGTATTGAGCCTATAAGTTTTTACCATCCTTACAATAATTATTTAATTATATTTTTAGTATTCAATTGGTCTTACCTAATATATTCAGCATCTGGCGTTGTTTCTCCTGTGATTTTAATCGCTTGAAGACTCCTTGCAAATGCCTGAAATAAGAAAGAAACTATTTAGATTTACACGTAACAGTACGTGAGTTACGGTGATAAATGGGTTTAATGTGGTGTTTTGCTGTATCAAGACGGGGCTAGGAGGACCCTTCAAAGTAGTTGTAAAACGAAACAAAGTTCATATTTTTTTAATTTAAATATCCATGGCTACCAAGTACTACTCTTTTTGCATAGAATGACAATTAAAAACTAAAGATTTTAGAATTTTGTCAACATTTCTTTCGTTACTAAAGTACGCTGCCACTGAATAGTGCACCACGGTGCTTAGAAGTGTGCACCTTTCGGGATGCCATGGGCGACTAATAAAATCAATTCAATTTTGTTGAGTTATTACGAATTATTTCACTTGCTAGTGAAAAATCGACGCAGATACATCATTTGCCAAGTCTTTCAGCTTTCCCGGCAGATTTTATTTTCAAATTTAAAGTGATATCTAAACTCATTTTATTCTATTAAAGTTTTTGAATTAATATAGCAATTATAAATCACCATTGCATAATTCTCGAAAAGAGTGGAAGTTCGCAGAGGTATGCAGATATTTTGACATAGAAAAAAAAGGAAGCTTAAGCCAGAAAATTACACTACCAAGTGAGTGACCTTTTATTTGTTATTTAAAACTATGTATGTGCAATGACATATTTAAAAAATTCTACTTATAAAATATTGCCGTAGTTTAAATGTCTTAAAATAATGCCTTCGTATCCAACAAGAAATGTATTTTCTGAACCAATGTAAATTACGAATTAGTTTAAGGGCAGGATGTGTCCGCCATTTTCTCTCTTTTCTCCTTTGCAGACACAGAGTTCCCTTTAATCTTTTTTCACGGTGATTAATTAATCTGATTGTGTTAATTTGGTTTACATAGATGTCAATTCGTAAGCAGAGATGCCAACTGCTCTGGACGCGCCAAAATAATTAAAAAAAAACGGTAGATAACTACAAAGTAAATTTTGCAAATATTTGATTATTTTTGCTTGCTTTTTAAAAGGTATAGCATGACATAAGTACTGTTAAATGGTGAATTATATAAGCCTACGAATTATTTAGAAATAGTAGTGGATAAAAATCTACTAAATACAATTTATTAAACAAAATATCACAATTGATAAAGTACCACTTTAAAATATATATTTGCTATCCGGAGCAAGTTGGCCTCTCTGCGTAAGTACTATTGTTTACAATACAGCGGAAGAAACAGAAATGTAACAAAGGTATTTTTTTTTTTTAAATTTTGGCAGCACTTAAAAATTACGTTGTACGATTATCAGGTTATACAATTGCTTAGATATAGTGGTAGTCAGAATCATTGTGAATAAAATTTATTAAACCAAAATTTTAAAGTATTACGTTTTCTACAACATTAAATCTTCGATATAAATAAGCGAATTTAGCAGTCGAGGGCTTGTACTCTCTCTGGGAAAATTTGCTCCTTTAACTATTACCGTAAATAACATTTCCAGATGTTATTTCGGTCACAATGTGACAAAATTAGTATTCCTAAACTTATCTAAAATCACTCCTTCATTTTGCTGACAGCTACACTTTTGAAGAAAATTTTTGATTGTTTTAAATTTTAACTATTTTGAGTTAGCCGCAATCCGTTGCATCCCTTTCGGTGTCGACTGGTACTGAGTGTAGCTAATCCTGTTATGATATGTTGAACTTCTAAAAACGTGTTTTTATTACTTTATTAAGGTGGATTCACCGTTACGGACAACAAATAAAAATAGATAAATAAAAAAATTGAATAATTTTAACTTAGTTAATTTCGTCGTTAAATGCCTTTCAGTTTTATGAATGATTTCATAGGGTTGATTGATATCGATTTATAGATTGTTTTTCTGTACGAATAATGGGTTTTCAGCTTGGTTACAATAATGTTGAATTATGATAACCATGACTGTCTTGTTTCTCCAAGATGAATTTTTAGAATAAAAAATTTGAATTAGAAGTCTTTATATCTTATAAAAAAATATCGTAAATGTTAGCGCTTCATGGGGTGTGATGCCATTTTAAAGTTTAGAGACCTGGTTACTATAAGCTTCAAATCAATATGTTTCCTTAATTTGAAGTGGTGATCTTAGTAGTAATTAATGTGATAGGTTTGCTTCCGATTTGTTAGAACCTTTTAAAACTTCTAATGCTAACGAAAACATTAAAAAAATTATTAAAAAAAAATACTGTTTGCTACTGTTTGTGTCATAGAGTTGCCTTTTTATAATAGGTTGGGTTTAAAAATACCCACTTCTCCATTTTCAGGTGGATCTCCATTTCCGAAAGTGCTAGTAACAACAAGAAGAAGAGTTTCGTGTTCTAGATTGATAACATCATAGTCTACCATGCATATTACCTGCAACACATATTGTCGGTACAAAAAGCACTCATATTGATATTTCTTAAAATCTAACATACAGAATGCAGAATAAAATAGGATTATACAGAATGTAGAAAACATAGGATTGATGTAGCATGTAGGATAATAGAATAATAGTAAATAAAGGCGAATAATAGAACAATAGTGAACAATGTAGAATAGTAAATAATATAGAATAATGCAGCAATAGTAAATAACGTGTAATAGTAGAAGATTAGTAAATGATGTGGAATAATAGAGCAATAGTAAATAATGTAGAATAATAAATAATATAGAATAACGCAGCAATAGTAAATAATGTGGAATAATAGAACAATCGTAAATAATGGGGAATAATAGAACAATCGTAAGTAATGTAGAATAATAGAATAATAGTACATGATGCAGAATAATAGAACAATAGTAAATAATGTAGAATAATAGAACAATAGCAAATAATGTAGAATAATAGAATAGTAATGGAATAATAGTAAAATAAATTCACGTAGAATAACAGAATAAAGAATGCCTAATCCAGGGATATCATGGGTGACTAAAAATATAAAGAGTTTTTGAAACTGTGATTTTTTTTATTTATTTATAATCTATTTAATTAAGGAATTTTATTTGTCACAACATTATTTTTAGTCGACCGTGGCAATCCTGCTAATGAATACTTAAATAACTGATACGTTTTTTTTATTAAAAAAAAAAAAAAACTAACGGTTCATTATTTAAATCAAATGTATTTAATACAAATTCTGCAAATAGAAATTAATAATGAAATAATAATTAAAGCAAAAGTATTTTTTTTGGGGGGGGGGAAGTTTAAATGCTCGAGTTACAATAAAATTTGGTGAGGAGCTTTTGTACCTTATTCATTATAAATTACATTACAGAATAAATTATGCATTTTGTGCAATATTAGAATAATAAAAGTATATTCATTATTAGTCGTTTATTTAAACTTAACTTACATTAGCGTTGAAAGCATGAGAAAATATGTCACCCAGCATTTTAGCGTAGTGTTCAGACCGACCAGTTTCAGTTGCAAACAAGATGGTTGCCTTAATTCGCCGAGACAAAGCCATTCCAAACAAATTTGACGTAAATTTCACTGCCCTGTAAATAAACAAAGTAAGAATCATGCTGATATTAAGTGATTGAAATCAAATCAAACTAAAATCATTAGATGGAATTAAAACAAATGAACTAATATTTCACTGCAAAGAAAATTACTACAAAAAATAACTTAACGAAAATAAATACAGAAACAAAAAAAATTGAACATTCATCAAGATTTAATATTTAAATTTAAATCAAATTTACAACATAACATTTAAATTCAAGATCAAACATTTAAATCAAATTTAGAATGCGGAAAAACTATTATCAGAACTTTGCTTTTGTTGCCCATTTATAATCGAATTCTTAGAAAATTCTTTAAAATTTTTGAACAGAAACTGATTTATTTTAAATGTCGACAGAATTAATTTATCATCTGTCAAACGAAAAAACTATCACTTTAGAGTACGGTAAAACATAATGTACGTGACAAATGTCTGTTTACCTACAGTACGTCTTACGAAAAAACTCATGCCTTAAAAACTGGCAGAACATTGTGCGTTCTTGACAATGCAGGAAGAAACTTAAAAGTGTTAAATCTCTATAATACACTTGGCTTTCTATGTCATATATATTGTTTATTTAAAATATTTTTGATTTACTTCGCTATTTCGTAAAATCTGAATTTTTTGGAACATTTTTTTTATTAAAAGCTACTTTATTTTACCCGCTTATTACGTTACCCGTAACCGCCTACGTCTTATTTTTGAAAAAAGAACCTTCCCAAAGCATGAAAGGAAATAGGATTTTTTTTTACTCTTTTTGAAAAGTTAAGGAATGGTAACTAACTTATTTCACTCTTAGCACTTACAATTGGAGAGGCTGAATATTCCTTACAACTAGAGTATATTAATAATATAAAATTATATACCCTGTGATATATATGCTGTTCTAAAATCAAGCAATAGCTATGTTCTTTAAACCAAATCGGTTGTTAATCGAATTTTGTGTCCCTATTATTTATATCGAAATCTGTAACCACATTTTTTATAAAGGCAGTTTTTCCATTACTGCAAAATATGATCTACCGTCTGTCTATCGAAAAGATAAATCGCCTTAGAAACTGACAGAACGTTGCATACTTGTGGGTATGTAAGATGTCCTTCAAAAGTACTAAATATCTTTAGTACACTTGGCTTATGTGATATTTGTTGCCTATTTGTAAAATTTTCTACTACCTCACAATTTCTTTAAAACGTAATTTTCTGAACCATTTTATTTCATTAGAATGTGCTTTATTTCAAGAGTAGTCAGAATGAATACACTGTTTGTCTAACGAAAGCTACTTGAACATTGTGTATGTGACCACGTGAGATGTCACTGAAATGTGCCAAATCTCTCGAACACACATGTTTTTTTTAATGTTTTATTCATTGCTCATTTATAATATTCTTGATTACCTTGCAATTTCTTTAAAACGGAATTTTCTGGAAGGAGTTCTTGGCCCATTGCCGGAAGACTCTCTGTCTTTTTCCCAAACATGTGTCTTCCACGGTGGGTCCTAAAAGTAAAATAAAATAAAAGTACTAAATAATTGCATAGGTTATAGAGAACAAGCTTGTGGTTTTTAGAATATTAACTGATTCCAAAAACTAAAAAATGTGCATAAACGTGAATGAAAATTATTTTTTAAACCAAGCTATCTATGAAATACATGAAAGAGATAAGTGTTACATTTGTAGATTTTAAAGATTCTAAAATTGTTTGCATAGAGAATGTGTAAGTATAGACAACGCCTACAACAACTGAAAGCCTCCACACGGTTTTTTTTATAGGTAGTCCGATCAGACCACTATGAAGGTAAACCAGTTTACGAAAGAGCCCTTTGATGCAAAATCTAGTAAAAATAAGAAAATGGTAGAAAATATATGTTTAAAAATTTGTTTGGTTGGTAGGTTGGTGTCGTGTCATGGACAGAAAATAATTTTACATGTGATCCAAGGTCCTATATACAACATATGCAATTTGAAGGCAATTTTCTTCATATAAGTCCGCCCACGGATTGTCACTTATCTGCTGCAATTGCGCCAGTATAACGGGACAGTTGAAAAGACGTATGGGGGTTAGTTCTATGTATGGGCAATTTAAAAATTTGTTTGAATTATGAATATGATTGGTTTGCCTTATTTGCTTGTCAACCACTACAGATTCAATTCTCAAATATATGTGACAAATTTATCCCAGTGACTTTTAAAAAATAATTTGGGTACATGCGCACAACTGGATCACATTTTAAATAGTCTGCGCAGACTACTTAACCGTGTGGAGGCTTTCTGATGTAGGAGGTGAGATTTACCTGGTATTCATAGCTGGGTTTAAGGTTGTAGAGAAGCAGTTCCTGGTGGAAGACGGGTGTTAGGCTACCACTGAGAGGGGGAACAATCCACACCCAATCTGCCGGACATCCTCCTCTGAGTCTCAATTCATTGTCCCAATGCTTCATAAATGATTCGGATGCTGTGTGATGATCCACAATTGTGACATTGGCTTTCTGCAAAAACACAAATCTACATATGAACCGATTAAACTAGTGTACATGAAATGATTCATGATGGAAAAATTACTAATTAAATAAAATTATTGAACAATAGTTAATTAAATATTGAAACAAAATACAACTATCAAATAAAATTGCAGAATTAAATTCAACACATGGCTTATGGTTTTATTAAACCTGATTAATAATAAAAAAATGTTTATTGAACTTTCAAGAAAATATCTGTTTCATCGTAGTAACAGAATATATATATATANATATATATATATATATATATATATATATATATATTATATTCAGCTCACCTTTGTTTTGGGACGATAATTAATAAATTTAGAGGATCATATTTTATTATGAGTGGAAAAATTCATTCTAACTAGTAGAACAAACTGGTAGAACGTGGTAAAACCTACCGTATTCCTGACTCTATGGGAGCATCAAAAATCTCTGTAATTTTCACTGAAGATCTTTGGTAATGATTTTGGTAAAATTAACAATAAAATATGATTTTATAATGTGTAATACAATTTGATAAATGCGGTAAAATTTAGAAATTTTATCATGATACTTTAGAGCATGCTAAATATAAATATATGACGCTAAATATAATGATAAATATGATAATGCCAAATATATTAAACAAATTAGATGACAAAGTCGTAGCCAATCGAAAAACCCGACTACTTATAAATATCTTTGGAATCTTACGATACGCCGGGAAAAGGTGTATTTATATTGGACCTGATTCAACTTATATACCTTTAAGGTTAAGCGAGAAATTTTCACGGAATATGTTTTATTTGACAGTAAGATTTCAATACTCTGAGCCTATTGCAAACTGAAGTCCAATCGGACTAATATTATAAATGGTTCTAAAATATGTGGATTCACAGCAATAAGCCTAAAAATGAGTCAGACTTATTGGGAAATGTTGGAGAGAGTTCTCCAATTGACTAAGCGCTTTGTTCATCGTCAGTGACTGTCTGAAAAGAGAAGGATTATTCCATCAACTTATGGCATTATTACAAATTTGAATTGCTGACTACTTCTTGCATCCTAACTTATCTTGGAAGGCAATTACAAATTTATGTATTTCTAGAAATTATTAATAGTAAGTACTAATAACAAAAATCATGTTTAAAATAGAGTACCTGAAAACTGTAAATAACTGCGTAATTTACTTCGACTACTGCTCTATCTTTCCACAAAGTTGAAGGTGCTCGCATATCAACTCCTAAACGAGTAGCTACCTCCTAAATAAAAGAAAATGTTATATTAAGTCCTTAGAAGAATGGTCGAGATATCTTCTCATTATTCATTTAAGTTGTGCAAGATGTTTAAGAAAAATATGCTGCAACTTGTATCTTTAAGAGTTCAAATAGTGTTACATTGTTGCATATGAAAGGCTTGTAGTGAGACAGCAATAAACAGAAATAAAATCCAGGGGGGACACTTTTCAGAAAAAATTATTGTTGTTGTTTCTAATGTCACTTGTCGAGTACCAGCTTGGTGAAACCAAGCGAATTTAAGGCAGAGGGTACATTTCTTGTTTTTAGTGGCACCATCTATGGCCAAGAAGAATACGTCTTCTGCCACACACATCGCAGCTCGTTGTAAAAGGTGGACCCATTTATTCATCCACAGATCGTAATTTTGACTAGAACCAGACAACTATCCATTTCCAATTCAGTACATCTAGAGGTGCAATTTGTTCTGAGAACTTAGAGGATTTTGTGACCCGACAGATTTAACGTGCCCCTGTCACCATTTACTACACGAAGAATCCTTGCCCGGCTGGGACGCACCAGGCTGTCCCACCGAAAAAAATTAAAAAAATTAAAAAACGGGTAGAGAGTTGGAAATGTTTTTTCTAATTACTCTCGACCTAACATAATAGTAAATCAAATATATGGATTAAAACAGATTTATTGCATTCCTATTATTGACGTAAAATTAAACGCTATAAAATTTACATTTAGCTTATTTTAAAATGACACCTTAAAATTTTTACTATCAGACATTAGAACCAAAGTGGAGTTACAACTGAACTTTAAACTCATTTACGAGTAGTGGCGAGTAAAATAACTTCAAATCACATTTACCTTAAAAATGAATCTAGAATATATATAATATCACTAACTACACATCAACTAACTATTTAAACAGTTAATATTTTGGTTTAAATGTAACGTCGAACAAAGAGGTAATTTATGAGCCATAAATTATGCCGTCAACATTAAGACTTTGATCTTTGCCATAATAATAATAATAATAAAAAACAGTATGATCTAATGCAGTTCTAATGCAGTCTAATACAGTCCTTATTGATATATCAATTTTGGTCATGATCAAATGTTCGCTTAAACATTTTTTTCAGATTTGTTGTTGTTTCTAATCCTTCACAACATAGTTTCAGATTTATCAAAGCAATGAGTCCAAACACTTTAGCAAAGCCACACACCAAAACTAATCGCAGGAGAATGTCTTGCAAGTAAAATCCCAGACATTCAAGGAATTCGAAGGAAACAGATTTCAATTTGCGCTTGCAACGTGTTGGGAAGACATTGCTCCCAAATTTGAAAGTTAAACTGTTAAAATTATGTTTGAACTTCTTAAATGACCACTGATGAATCGTGTAAATTGCCGTTTGATCCGATCTCTCTCCCTTGAACTTAAGAGCACAATCTGGGCTTTTTCTATCAAACCAGTAATAAACAGGAAACTTTAACCAGGGTTGCCTGTCGCAGGTTTTCTTCAGGGATAAAATCTATTGATAGGTAATGAGGTAGTCAGATGTTGTCCCTTTTAGCCAGGTTATCAGCAACTTCCTTACCAGAGACACCAACATGTGACGGGTAAGTGGACATCTCCAGTTTTGGTGAGGCATTTCAAATAGTCGATTATTACAGTGCTCACAATGAGTAATTAACTAGATTCCAGTCCTGTAAGTATTGTAAGGAAATGCGACAGTCAGTGATGACCCAGATGTCCAGAGAAGTTTCTAATTCGAGAATGGACTTTAATCCTTTATGAATGGCTATGAGTTCACTTCTGAATACCGAGAAATTTTTTCTCCACTTAACTCTTATTCATACTGTTTTGTCAAAATAAAAAGGAGGAGAGCTATTAAAAAATAATAGAATAAAAAGAACGTAGAAGAAGCTATGTTACTTCTAGTATGTTGAATCGGTGAGGATCGCATAAATCTCTGGCTCCTATTTCCGTTACCATGTACCACCCATTGAAAGGAGCTGCAGGAAATTCCAGTCCACCAACATCGAATAACATACTGGACACTGCGGGCAATGCATACCATTGGATATTGAGATCCTTAAACCAAGGATACCTAAAGGAGATACAGAAATAAGCATTTTTTAATATTCCATTAAAAAATGTATCACAAAATGACGAATTTCTTTGAAAAAAAAAACTTAAATATGTACATCGAGTTTCGAATTTTAATACATACTATTAAAATCTTGGAATATGTTTAATGTAACCTAAATTATAGACTATTAAAGTGTGGGTGTAACAATGCAGGAAGCTAATAGAACGCATGGTTGTAATTTTTTTATAATTTTATTTTTAGGATATTTTTGATTCACAAATAAATTGATTTGGCAAAGATTACAGTTCATTTTCTTTTATTTTGGCTAAGATTAGATGGACAAAAATTAAATAGCGAAAATAATGATTTTGATATATATAATCCTCTTAACCAATGGGAGACCGCTTTACTTAAAAACTAAACTAAAAGGCAGCAGTCAAATTAAAAACATGTATAGTTTGTCTAAAGAAGGAACTCCCCTCACCAAGTAGTCTAAGGCCGTCTGCTGCTATAGAATAGGTATTTCATATATTTATATATAGAGTATTTCAAAGAGGAGGTATTTATTTCTCTGTGTACGTAGCGTCCTCAAACCTCAAGTTTTTACAGTCAAATCAATGGATTTCTTAGGTTTACTTCAAATTAATTGTCCCAAAATACACTTGGAACTTTCTTGCACTCTGAAAAAACTCAATGGTTGTCGATGAGAATAAAACGTACATATTACGGCCGGCATAATTATCGTGTCGCTGTAAAATAAATACATTATACATTTTCAAACAATTTTGGAGGTGTAGAAATAATGTGCCTATTATTTTTTATTATTTTTTTTATTATCAAAAGTTAAAGGTTCTTGAGATCTGCCCACATGTTTGTGATCCATCTATGCGTNGCGTAGCAATTTTCGGGGGTTGGCGAGCGTTAGCGAGCAGGGGGCGCAGCCCACTAGTTTTAAATAAAATAATAAAAAAATATTATGTATTTATTAACACTTAATTTTTGCATTAAATTATTTTTGGATAAACCAATTTTATTGCAAGAATTCTTTCCTTTCGCTTAAAAATGTATCGATTAAGGTATAAGGCGCAAAAAATAATATTGGCATTAAGGGATCTAAACTTTGGGTCGCTCTCCTGATCAGTCTATAGGGACCATATTTTCTAAATCGTGCTATCCTTATGTACTGGGGGTCAAAAATCCGAATACAACGAAATAATGGTATGTTCATTCAGAATAAGTACATTTTTGTGTCTGATTTCGTATTTTAAAGTATCGTCTGCAATAATAAGCATATTGCACCTATTGAACAATTAAGATTGAGTTTAAAATGTTGAAATCCGATCATTAGATCAAAACTTATTCAGAGAGGTCAGTTTATTTTTTGCGCACTATACACTAGATGCCCAAAGCGTATTGATAACGAAGGTGATGGCGTTATTGATCAAAATAAATGTTTGTTAACAATTTATCTGTTTGAATTTAAAGTAATTACTTTTCGGTAAAAATGTGTTATATAAATGTGCGAAACACATTACTTTGCCACTCCCTTAATGTTTTAATTATCCTCTTTTCGAATTAAATGATTTTCTTACTTTGGATGGGAGATGTGTACTCTCATTACCAGTTCTTCAGGCAGATCGAATACTTGAGGATCATGACCGTTAGCAGACAACACTAAAGGCAAGATGTCCCATTTTTGTCCTGCACCTTTCCAGCCCAATTTTAGGCACAACTGTAAAATAAACCTCATGAGAAATGGAGCTCTTAAGGATTGATTCAGAAAAAAGGACAAGAATGGAGGTACAGAAATTTAAAACAAACTTTGGTAAAGTATTAGTCAAAAGATAAAAATATAATTCTATATTTAATCACCTATCGACGTTAGCATAATAATTTATATTGGGTTAGAGTAAATTGGATTTTTTTAATAAACAATATCGGGAAAAATACGTTAACCGGTTAACGCCCAGCGTCATATATTTAGGACAGTTCCTTTTTTCAAAGACATTCATTGTGGTGGGAAACTTTTTTCAGAATTTTCATTTATCTGGGTGAATTAAAGGATTCACAGATACCATTATGATTTAGTTATTTCTGATTAGATCAAGAATTATAAGGAACAAGTACTTTTTGATCTATCAATGACTTTTTGAATGCTCTAACAGTAGAAAAACCAATTAATTTCGATAATATATTATACCGCTTTTTCCTTAAAACCACTTTTTGTATCATTTTAATATATAAATTCGGGACAAAACGGGTTAAGGCAGTCAGTTTTTTCCTATCGATAGCTAATTTTAGGGTTTTTTGTTGAAGATTGTTGACATGATTGTTGAACATTTGATTTTTTTTAATTAAAATTCTGCCCTTAGTATATGATTATATGAATCAGTTTTTATTCTTTATCACCGAATTTTTTCTATGATCAGCTACTTTTTGGATCACCATGTAACTTTAATTCATCTCTTTCAAGGCATAGGGGATAAAAGCGAGAAGCATAAGTTCGTCTTCATAGTCATTAACTCAACTCAACACTAAAATCAGTATTATATCAGCTTGATCGAACATTATGTGTAAATAAAATAAAATTAGAAAAAAACTCCGTATTTTCAAATTTTGCCCCGAACGAACTGTCAAGCGTAAAAGCTATGCTAACAGCTAAAAAAGAAAACTGGCAGTAAAACCATTTAAATTATATCTGATTTTCGGATGACCGTTTACGGCCATCTTACACGGCCATATAACATGGTTACAATAAAATACCTAAACAAATAATAGTTCTAAGTTAAGTATAAGACAATCGAGAAAAAAAGAAGCTACTTCAGTGAATTCAATGAGATTTAATGTACTTATGGGATTTTGGTTTTCCTCGGAAGGAAAGAGCAATGGAAAATATCTAAGTTATAAGACTTCTAGTCTGTCAAATAGTGATCATGTAATTATTGGTTTGTCAAATAATTTGAGTGATTAATTTGTTCTAGTACCTTCTACGTGGAACGTTTCTATTAGACCAATTTAAACATTGCTAAAACATAAGAGAAAGAAAATTGTTTATTGATCCCAAAGAGATGCAGTCTAAACAAGCAATGCTTAAAAAAGCCACACTTGAATTTTATAGCACGTTAGTTCTATTAACATTTTAAAAGCTTATAATAACTGTGACTATACTTGTGACAGTCCAAAAATTTAATCTACATCTTACTATGCTATAAAACAATTGTTTTCGATTGTTCGTGGTCTACTTTTTTTTAAAAATTTAACACGTTGAATGCCATAGAGAAAAATTTCAAACCTCTTTTTATGGATAATATAATAAAATAATTTGAATATTGTCTTAACGAATTATGTTATATTGTTCTCCATAATTTTATAGACTAAGAAACATTAATGATTAGTACTTTTTGTGCTATTTAATTTTCCGAGTTTTGGCCAGCTTTTTATGAATTCGTCGACCACTGTGCTGTGTTAGCTTTATTGATTCATTCATAGCAGAAAGATTTATAAGGAGACGTTCGTAATTTTTTAACACGCTCACGCCGGGTGTTGCGCTTGATAGAGGGACGAAAAAGAGAAAATACTGGTAGAAGAACTATTTCAGTATTAGATAATATTCGGGAGGAGTTAATCTATTCTCAACAACAAAAATTCACTGTAAGGAAATCTTTCACGGCGAAGAAGCAATTCCATATAAAAATTGCACCCGTTAAAAACAGTTGGTAGTTATGGATTTTAATTATTCCCGGAAAAGAGCTAAAAAATGAAATTTATTTGTTACCAGTTTTTACTACGGTGCGCCGCCCGATGAAACAATCTAGCTTGACCCACCGGTGGGTCACCCCGGCGTGAACGTGTTAAAGGAGCCAGGAAATCAAAATCAGTGACTGTATACTTATTTATTTAGAAATATTATACATTGCGCTGAATACAATTATATTAACACGTTCACGCCGGGAAAAGAGAAAATACTGGTAGAAGAACTATTTTAATATTAGATAATATTCGGGAGGAGTTAATCTATTCTCAACAATAACAATTCACTGTAAGGAAATTTATCACGGCGAATAAGCAGTTCAATATAAAAATTGCGCCCGTTAAAAACAGTTGGTAGTTATGGATTTTAATTATTTCCGGAAAAAAACTAAAAAATGAAATTTATTTGTTACCAGTTTTTACTCCGGTGCGCCGCCCGATGAAACAATCTAGCGTGACCCACCGGTGGGTCACCCTGGCGTGAACGTGTTAAACTTTTCATATTATTTGAAATTTTTTTAAACATTTTTGTTTTTTATAGACTCTAAGAAATCTATTTGAATCTGTGACTGAAATTTCGGTAACTCAGTAGTTGATAAATATTAAAAGGCATCGCTACCTTGAACTCGTTATAATACTGCATTAATTGAGACAGTAATTTAAAATTTGTAATGAACGAACATCATACTTCGGTAAAGTCAGCACTAGCCGGATCCCCAATAATGGTTCCATCTTCTTGTTTGTAACCGGCATACATTATTAACTGTGTGTTCCATACTCTACAATCCCGCAAACCATCAGTCCTTTGCGGAAATATTGTTATGGCAGATCTGTAAAAAAATACACAGATAGGAATGTGATTATGTATCATGGTATTAGAGTATATTATAATACCAAACCTTTTAAATGTTGTACATAAATAGGTTGTTCTGAAAACTGATGATTTTCAAAAATATATAACTTAGAAGCGGTTAAGGTTTAACCCTTTCGAGCCGACTATCACAAATACGTGTCAGCATAAAAATGTATCAATCAGGGTAAAAAGATAAAACTGGTAATCAAAGTAATTCTTTAGCAGTTTATTTGTGGGTGCAGTTATAATTGTTTGATTTATTTAATTCACCATTATTTTGTTCAAAATAAAACTAGTTATACTTTGAATTAACATTGATTAAATATATGATTAAACTAACAATAATTAAAGTAAAAGCAAAGTAAGTCTGTCAAATTAGCAACGACTACATTTAAGTTACCGTTTTTTATTTAATTACAACTTGATTCTGATTTTGTACGAATGCTTTTCTGAATCA